TCCCCTGTTCGTGCTAGAGCCACTTCCAGACAGCACCTGCAAGCAGAGATGGGACAGTCTTCACAGACAGACAGGTGACTCTCATACATTGACCTTACCAGGAAGTGTTGGCTGGTGGTCATGACAGCATCTGTCAACATTTAAAGGAGGATGGATCATTCATTAACAGCAGGCTCAGGGTGGCCTGCTGTGTGACTCTCCTCCTTGACAGTTTGGACTAGCATAATAAAAGATGCCATTACAGCCCATCAGAAGGCTGTACTCTTGCTATAAAGATTCGTGAGTAAGAATCACGGACTGAACTATGGAATAAGCCTTATGAATTAAGAGCTGAGGATATCCCCAAGACAGGTGCAGCCTGAGCCCAACAAAACTGGCTCAAACATCCAACGGGTCCTGCCTGCCCAAGATCCAGTGCCCCGAGAGCCTAGGGGCAGCCACGTGGCCCGCTGCACCAGCTCAGAGCCGCACTCTGCATCGACATGCTCACATCACCTTTACGTCCTTTCCTGCTCCTTCTTCTCTCTCTTTACCTGCAATCTCAGAGCTTCTTGCGTAGAGCAGGCCTGGCCCGGAGCCCCATCGCTCCTCTGCACTCTCACAGTTCACTAGGCCACCTAGAGGGAGGGGCCTCCTCAGAGCTCTGTTCAGCGCCTGGTGCGGGAAGCCTGCCCTGGTGTTCCTGGACAGATGGTGTTTGTCTCCTCCCAGTCATCTGCCAGCTGTTGGCCCTTCTTCTTTTTGCTAGATCTGAGACACTTGCAGAGCATTCTTCTGGATTTCACTCTGGTGGAGAGAAAGCTGCTTTACCCCTCCAACATTATTGACATTGAACATCAAGGACCCTTGTGGGCCTATGGCAAGCTGTTGGGGACACTTTACAATACTGTTAGCAAAGAAAAACTAACTTAGCGAGTGGAGACAGAAGTATTTTGCCTTTTAAAATCATAGTTTAAAAATGTGGTAAGAGTCTCTTCACTAGAAAACGATGTTGTAAGAACATCTCTCAAAGAACATTCCATAACGTTTTTAAGGATAAAAAAAAATATTTGTTTTTTTTATCAGTTTTAAAAGTCACATACACAGGCACATGCTCGCGCGCGCGCACACACACACACACACACACACACATACACTTATTCATGAAGGACCCAGTGTTGGATTCCCGTGGTGAGCCACAGCCTGACACATACCTGCTGGAAACGGAACTTGGGTCCTCTGTACCAGCAGTATATGCTCTTAACTGTTGAGCCACCTCTCTGTCGTTTTTACTCAAAATCCCAATTGTTGGATTTCACCCAAGAAGACCCAGGAGCCAGATGCTGGGGTAAAAGCCTGCTAGCTCAGAGAGGCAGAGAAAGCACCCAGCCGACCTTCCTACTCTTCAGATATCCTAGAAGGAAAAAGTCCTTTCTCCCTCTCCAAGGTGTCTTAAATACTTTTCAAATGGAATGTCCCTCCTTTCTACTTCCTTGGCTTCTCTATCAGTCCTCTGGACTTCCTCTCACTCTGTTTTGTTTGTTTGTTTTCATGTTCACTTCCTGTCAATTGGTTGCTTGCTCTAATTCTTGACCTAGTGTTAACTTTATTGAATCTTTTTTACAGAAACCACTTAGATTAAAGGTGTGTGTTAGGGCTGAGCCACACCACAATTAGAAACAGGTTTTTTCAGTATATAATCTCCGGGTTTATAGTGTGATCAAATATCCTGCAATATGTCTTTTAACTAGGAGATGGTGAGGTTAGGAAAATGATACTTCAAAGACCTTATCTTTGTTGTTGTTGTAGCAGGGGCCAATTTGATGTCCTTCTCCCTCAAAATGCACTTGCCAAAATTGCTAATTTGGAAATTGGCAGATAAAAAGTGAAAAAGAAAAATGTTTAAAGAGCTCTCCAAATACCTGCCCTGAAAACATATGTTTCATACAGCATCTCATTCTGCTATTGGGGTCACTGATAGCACACGTGAAATGATGGAGACATGTAATGATTAGCCCATATTTACTGAGAAGAAAGAGAAACTGAGGCGAGTGATATGGCCAAGAGGGTGTGGAAGGGCACATGAAGGTTGCATGTAGCAGTTTAGAAATGACCAGGAGGGGTCACAGGTTAAATAGTTTAAGTATGAAGCGCTGTGGCCTAACACTGACTGACAAATGCACCGTGAGCCACAGACGGACATGCCGGGAAGGCACGCCAAGCAGGCACCCCAGGCCTTACAGGTTTAGGTTGTGGGAGCAGAGGGCTGTGGGGCAGTCCCAGTGCTCAGGGAGGTGATATTCCAGAATGTGCACATACCTTGCCATTAACAGAAGCTGGTTTTCATGAGCGGTAGGTGACAGGTGGTGGAGCACCATGGTCAGCAGATTAGAACATGTTTGAGTCCCAGCACAGTCATTTGTCCGTTAACTGAAACTTTATTTCTCCACTTTCTTTTTATTATTAATTGTGTGCGTGCGCGCGCGCGTGCATGTGCTTCCAGAGTCCTGAAGAGGGCACCCAACCCCCTGAAACTGCTGTTACAGGGAATTGTGACATAGGTGCTGGCAATCGCATTTGGGCCTTTGGGAGCAGCAAACATTCTTAACTGATCTGCCACCCTTGCCCGTCGTTCTTCACATGCTGGGGGCCACATTTAGACACAGCAGGGTTTACACGCACAACAACTTGCATATGGCTTACCTCTTCTCAGTAATGTTCAGAATGCATCATTTAGAATACAGGGGTCCTGCACCCTTTAGAGTAATCCACCGACAACAGCCAAGTCAAAGCCCGGAGCCCACAGAAGGCAACAAAGGCTTGTAAGCAAAGTTGTCTTGTTTTCCTTTAAGTTATGCCAGCCCAGGGCTGTCCAACTTGGGACAATTTACCTTGTTTCCTTATCAGATTTTTTAAATCTACAGACAGGGCACTCACTAGTTGTTTGTTTTTGTTTTTGTTTTTTTCACTTTCCACTGCCCACCCACAGTAGACTCGGGGTCCTGGCAGGGAGATCAACTCAAAGTTCTTTCCAGCCAAATTCCAATGCTCTTGAATTACAGGAACTCACAGTATGGCCTCTCATGACTTTTATCATGGCTACCAGGATACTGTCTGTCTGCCTCTGCTGGAGAGAAGCCACCCTCAGGGACAGGGAGGAAAAAGAGACTTGGGAGAGACTAGTAAGATGGCAGGAAGAAGCCAGGTGGTGGTGGCACAAGCCTTTAGTCCCTGCATTCAGGGAGGCAGAAGCAGGCGGATTTCTGTGAGTTTGAGGCCAGCCTGGTCTACAGAGTGAGTTCCAGGACAGCTAAGGCTACACAGAGAAACCCTGTGTTGAAAAACAAAAACAAAAACAAAAACAAAACAAAACAAAAATGGCAGCAAGGATCCTGATAGAGATGGCTGGGAAACAGCCCCTGGAAAGGATACAAGGAGACCCTGTAGTGATAGTTTGGGCAGACACCAACGAAGATTTGAATATTGTTGGAGAAATGTGGTTGAAAAAAAAAAAAGAATGACAAGTTGAGAGGGCAACAGGGTTAAGAAAACTGAAAACAGACCTGCAATGGTCTGAGGGGAAGGAACAAGCCTTTAGGGAGAAGAGAGTTTAGCAGAGTTGCTGGCAGGGAGACTGAGTCACACGGAGTACTGCTGGTCAAACTGGCTGGGGCTAAGCACGTAAGTCCAGAGTTCTTTCTGGTTTGGGGCAAGTGATGAAGATCTATTACGCCTCATTTTCTTATCCCTACGTTCTGAAATGAGTATCGGTACATGCAAAGCACTTACAGTGCTTTCCGGCTCACAGTGGATGCTCAACATGTTAGGTCTGGTGATAATAATAAAAATAAAATTCAGCTAGCTATCTTTGGGAATTATGATGAAAAGTTCAAGGTCAAATCTCTCATTATATAGTAATAGAAAACGAGATGGCAAAGGCAATTAAACTGACCCAGAGTACACTGGATTTCAACTTGTTTTTATTCTCTCTTTTTTTTATTACTCTTCAAAATAACTTGAAAATTACCAAAATCTCTGGCTAATAAAAACCTTACATATCTACTGCATTAGACTATTTTCAAGATCTTGAAAGATATATTTATTTTTAAATTTTTTTTCACAATTTATTCATTATATTTCCCGATTGAAGTCCCCTCCTTCAACTCCTCCAGTTCCACCCTCCCTCCCTCTTCCCCTCATCCCCTTCCCCCAGTCCACTGGAAGGGGGAGTTCTCCAAGAGCAACATATTAAATATTGTAGAAATGGCTTATGATTCTATATGCTTACTATACATAATATATACAGTTTGAAATTATTTTGATAAAGTTCAATTTACAGTTTTAGTTGGAGATGCCAAATTTGCATCAGGATCTCTCATAATTTTAAGAAAAAAGCTAACCACAACCACTTATTTAAGAAATTGACAGTAAGGGGGGATTATGGTAGCCAGCTTCCTTTTCCTTTTCACAAATGGGATGGGTCTGTGGGTGGCCAACAGCTTGGGAGGGTTGTGGGGTGATCTGCACCCTGAGGCGTTGTGCAGTCAGGCTAATCTCCCCCCCCCCCTTGTTTAGCTAGAGAATCAGGACTCCACCTCTCCCTGGGCATCAGGGAGAACCCGGGGTGCTTCCAAGAGGAGAGTCCCATGCCAGTTAGGTCAGGGGGATGCTTGGCATTTGGCTTGGCTCAGGCATGTGGGGCGCCTATCTTCTCTTCCCTGAACTGGGCCATGAAATGATAACAGGAAGGACGGTTGCAAGATCTGGAATTCACTTCTGAAAGTCTAGAAACTTCTTTAAGAAAAACACAAACAAAAACCAGGAGCGTGGCTGATGCTACGTAGTGATTTGGATCGAAGGGTGAGGGTTCCGTACAAATCTAAGAGGGGAAAATGTAAAGGACCCAGGTGCCACAGTTTGTATTCAAAAGCCATCACTTTTTGTGGAGATTGGTTGCAGGAAACTCTAAATGGTCTGTGGTGACAACGATAGTCTCCATTTGTGCTTTACCAGGACGCCTAATGCCACTGAGTAAGAGGGCCCGGGTGAGGTCCAGAAGCGCTGGCGATGAGCCTACTTTTCGGACACTCATTCTGTCTCTACATGCTGGTGTACGACCTTGAACTAATTAAATTATCCTTGCATGTTTATATTAGCTAATACCTAACATAGGGTGAATGTGGTTTGCTTCACAGAGCTAGTGTGAGAGTCGGAGACTTGGCTCGGTGTGATGCCTGACAGACAAAAAGCCCTCACTAAATTACTGCCAGTTACTAGAGCACTTTAAAGTTACAAGAACAGTTCACTTTGAGACCCTTTCAGCGGGGGTGGGAGCCGAGGACAGCACTGCAGAGGGATGGCTCCCTTCAGGAGCACCTTACTCTAGCGGCAGAAGGGAGGGCGAGTCCTGAGCTCGTTCTGCGTGTGCACACACCCGTCTGTGCTGTGGCGCGCTGGACCCTCTAAGACGCCTCTCCTCACTCCCGTGTTCTCGGGAACACTCAGGGTCCTTTACCTGAAAGCAAGATTGAAGGAATGATTGGGGAGAGTCGAAGCGCTAGCCTGCTTTTGGGTCAGGCCAAGCGCACACAGCAAATGCCCACCTAACAGCCCTTGGGTCCCAGGTTTGTTTCTTTGCGGCTCGGTGCACCCCGCCTTCCTCCCTAGAGACGCCGGAGAGGGGTGCACACCAGCCAGACCGCAGCGCATTGCACCGCGGCGCACGCGCACACGCTCGCCTAGCGCCCGGGGTGGGAGGGTGGGGGGAAGGCCTGGAAAGTTCCACTGGGTTCCAGGCACCAAGGTTGGTAGGCGCGGAGGAGGCGGGGTGCGGGTGCGTGTTGAGCGAGGAGAGGGCCTCCCACGGGCTGCTCGGGACCGCGTTCGCGCGCCGCAGGTTCGCGGACCCAGTGGCGGCCCTGGAGGGCAGGGAGGCGTCCGCGGGGGCGCGGGGGCGGGTGGCCCGCGGGCGAGGGGCGGGGCGGAGGTGCCGGTGGGCGGGGCGGGCCGCGGTGGGCGGGGCGGGCCGTCTGCGCAGCCGCCGGAGCCTTTAAGCCCGGCCTCGCGCGGTCGCAGCGTGCTTTCCCCGCCCGGGAGCTGCCCGCCGCTGGTCCTCCGCGGCGTCCCCGCATCCCCGCCCTCCGCGCCCCTCACCCCATCCCCGGCTCGCCTCGCTCCGCCTCGGCGCCGCCGCGATCCCGGGCAATGCCCCGCTACGAGTTGGCTTTGATTCTGAAAGCCATGCGGCGGGTAAGTGACCTTCCCTCAGACCGTGTTCCCGCGCTGGCCCGCCCCGCCCCGCCGTCCCTAGGCCTCCCAGCCCCGCGCGCCCGGCCAGCTGCACACCGGGGTCCCCTCGCGCGGTCCGCGGGAGGCCGGGAGCGCAGGGAGGGGTCGCGCGTGGGTCGGGCGCTCGGCGCGGCCGCGTGCGCGCGGGGGGCTGGGGAGGTGTGTGCCCGCGCGTGTGCGCGATCGCGGGAGGGGGGTGTGCCGAGCACGCGGAGGGCCAGGGGGCGGGGCGGGCCTCGGACCCCCGGCCCTCCGGAGTCCGGTGGAAGGACCGCGGGAGGACACACGCGCGAGAACCCAGGCCGGCTCCGCTCTGCGCCCACGCGTCGAGAAGCTGCTCGTCGTCTCCGCCGGCCGCTCGTCCCAGTCGCCTGCCCTCGGCGTCCGCGATCAGTACAGCCTTCCTCCAAAGCCTGTTGGTGCCGGCTGTGTACCCCACGCACTGGTCACCGCTGTCACATTAAAAAAAAAAAAAATTCTTTTGACCTCTCTTTTTCTGACTTCAGCGAAAATACTGTTCCGGGTACCCTTAGCCCAGTTTCATTCATCCAAGTTGTGGCCTTGCTTGTGCCTTCCGAAGACCTGTCCTCCCCCAGCTCTTGATTGGTCTTGCGGTAGGGACTTTCAGGTTTGGAGGGATGATAAGCCACCGGCAGCCGGCGGGCCACGGACTGGGGTCGGCAGCGGCGGAGGCGGCCACCCTCGTCCTCTGTTCTGAGTCAGGCACTCCTCAGTCGTCGCTGAAATCCCCATTCTTCTGAGAGAATTCGGTAACGTAGTGTGCTTTTACGCCCCCCCCCCCCTTCCCAGCAGGAATAATTTAAAACAAAACAAAAGCAGTTGTACCTGGTCTGAACCTTGAAAGCAGCTTTCTTCAGCCCCGGGCATGTGGGCTTTGGGTCAGTTTCAAGGAGTAACTTCAGTTTGAATAAACTTAAGCCAGGCATCATGGGCTGGCTAGGCTCTGTTGAACAACAAACAATCGCATAGCACAAGGGCATCATTAAGTGTGCCTTGTACAGGCTTGGCAGGGAAAGGACACCAGAGCCACCTGATGGTCCAGAGGGCTGGCCAGCATTCTCTTGTGTCCCCAGGTTTAATTACTCCCTGCCTTCCTCCGGGAGAACTTTGCGATGTTTCTTTCACCTTTTGCTTGTGTGCTTTACCCTCCTTCCTGTTTGGATTTTACAGTTACAAGAATATATCAGTAACGGGTGGAGCTGGGTGGGTGGGGAATGCAGATGGTTAGGTGGAAATAGTTCCAGCCTCCCTTAATAACTTTTTAGGGGATAATAGAAACTGAAAGGGTGACCACTAAAATTCCCTTTGCATCTTGTCTTAGACAAGGTGTAAGGTAGCAGGTGAGCTTTCTAATCCTTTGAATGAAAGGCTCTCGCTTACCATGGCTGCCAGTATATTGGCTTAAATGTATTTTACCACTATATGGATCTGTTTCCCTCCAAGTCAGAAGTCAGAGAGCAGTTTGATTAACCAGTTCTGAGGGTAGCACCCTCAGGGAGGTGTTCAAACACTCCCTAGGTAAGAGGGGTGATGGGGTAGAGAAGGCACCAAAGGCAGCCCTTAAACGTAGTGTGAAAGTTGTGTTGAGATCCTGGATCCAAGTCAAACTTTTTTTTTTGTTCTAACTTTTAGAAGGTTGTAGACAAGGAAGGAAGACATGCGGAGTCTAGACAGCTTGTTTGCTTTCAGCTTTAGAAAGTGGAATTCCAGTGGATTTCAGTTGGATGTAATCCAATACAGTTGGATGTAAAGAGCACCTTGTTTTCCTATGAAATGCCACAGTGACTTGCACCCCTGCAGCAGGTATTTAGGAGAGCACAGTTCCAACCCAGGACAGTTTGCTTCTGCAGCAGGAAGCTTTCTGAACTCTCAGTTCTCAGTTGCATGTTGGGTACGTGACAGTGAGGCCTTTAAGGTGACAGTATTTTCCCTTCTTTCTCTCCTCCAAGCGTTTTGTGTGAGAGTAAGCTAAGTAAAGCTTTGTAGCAGAAAACCAGACATTGGTCTCCCGGTATTGTACTGTTGTTTCTCCTATGCCTACGAAACAGTCTCATCTTCCCAGTTGTGACTCTTAAACCTTACTGCCTTTCACCTCAAGCTTGACTGACTGCAATTGAGCTTTCACAGTTTACGTTTAAAGATACGTGTTGAGGCCCACAGTGGCTTTGCAGCAGATTCCCTGAGAGTTCTCGTGCCAGGACCTCTGTAGATGCAGTGGATCATCACATGCCTTTGTCTTATTGCATTTCCAGGCTTGTGTGTGTCTACATGCAGACCAGAGTCCTCAAGATTGGTGTACTTGAATTTTAATGTATTACAAAGTTGTAGTTTTTATTCTGTAGCATTAAAAAGAAAATAAAAAAGATAAAAATGTGGCTAACTTCTGACACAGTAAATGTGAAGCTGGGCTTTGCGGGGGCTGGCAGGTTGTCCGAAAGGTGATGCTTAGAGAAGCTTAGGTTGTCTTCATACAAGAGTTGTGGACCCAGGCTTTGGAAGCCCTCCTACCCCAGGCTTCCAGTAGCTTCAGGAGAGAAAGCAGGAAGGACACAGCTACAGAGGGAGCACCAGGCTGCAGATCCCAGCAGCTTCTTCTCACAAGGACTGCCAATGGGATGGTGAGTGTGTCCTGCTATCCACCTCCACTCGCTGAGGAACTTCCAGGTGGATTTGGGGCCCGTGAGTACCAAGACTGCCAACTTTAGTTGCCTCTCATTAGTCTGGGAAGAGAGCTACTGGACACACTGACAGAGCTACACCCCAGCCCTAGAGGACTTTATAGGTTGTTTTTGTTTTTTAATACCTGGAATGGGTGTAGAAGAAGACATTTTAGAAGAGGAATCTGTGCGGTAGGTAAATATTCTTTGGTTACATAGTTCAGAATACTTTGTTAGATCTTATCCTTTTGGTCAGGCAGTTGATCACAGTTGGGATGGATTTGTGACAGCCATGGGGAAGGACTTTTTTTTTTTTAAATCATGTCATCGTTACTCAAGAATTGCTAATATGAGGATGGTTTAAATAGTTACTAGCTTAATCACTAAATGATTGGTGTACCATAAGATAGCATTTATATGTCCTTTTGTATATAGGGATTTTTAACAGTAGGCATCACAGGTGGCGGTACAGGTTTATAATTGAAACACCTGGGTAGTGGGGCCGGAGGATCAGGAGTACAGTGTCATTCTTGCCTGTATAATGAGTGTGAGGCCTGCCTGGAATTCATAAGAACCTGTTTCAGAAAAGCAACAGAAACACTACAAGTGGGAGTGAAAGTAGGTAGCTAGCTCAGTAAGACATTAAGTTATGTCTCTTTGTTTTCAGTTTTAATGAAAAGCAGATTATCATTCATAGTAACTCACCAAAGTAGTTTTCAAGTTAAGAGTTTTATGATGTGCTGTGGAGTTAGATTCAGAAGACTGTGATGATGATGACCTTTGTAAGATGCAGAAGGCAGTGAGTTTTCTAAAAGTTAGGATCTGAAGAGTTTCTTACTGTTTTTTTCACTCAGGTAAGGTTTTGTGATGTTCTAGTGTCCAAGCTAGGGTATTCTGGAAGTAGACCTGCAAACGGCAGCCTTTCAGGACTCACGGATGGGGCCGGCTTGACAGCTTTTGATAAGTAGGACATGTTGAGATTTCTGGGTCCAGAAGTTCAAGTGGATGTGTCCAGCTGTCAGGTGACCGTGTCAGTCTGTTCTGTGTCCTTTGGGCCTGACCATAACAGCTTAGCTGTATCTTTAATAATCACTCTTGCCCTGTGCTTGACGCTAACTTTAAAATTGCTTTGTGAACAATGTGGTCCTTTGCCTTGGCATTAAAGTCCTCTTGGTTGCAGCTTGCTGCAGCGACAGGTGACAGAAGAAGGCGTCTGTCCTGTCCTGCCCCTGAGCTACAGCTAAGGAACAAGGCCTGGCCTGGGGGTAAGAAGTCCTTCCCTATCAGAGGTCCACCTTCTGCCCCAGCTGGACTCACACTCCTTACTAATGCTTACCTGGAGTTAGAACTCTAGGCTTCCACTACATCCCTTCACTGTAAGATCACCCTAAAATGTTCAGAAGCAGGTGAGATGGTTTGTAAAGCAGTCCTTCCCACATAGTGCTAGTGTTGTGCTTGTCATCCTCAGCTGATGACATCTGGGATACAGATGTTGGGGTGAACAGAGGGGAGAATGTGTCCAGTTATTTGCATGTGTGGAAGTCATGGCATTTGAGCTCAGTCTGACTTCTAGCTGATTTAGTGGCTTTCTGCTAGAATTTGCTCATAATCTCATGAGTTTATATACTCAAAAGAAAAGAATATCTCCTTAGAATTTATTTAAGAAAGGCATATTGTTGAGCCATCAGGTTTGTTAACACATGTAATTATCTTTCATAGGGATATCAGATTTAAGGAATTAAGCAAACAAATGCCCAGTAAGTTGTTAATTTGCATAAAAGAAACACTGCTGGGCAGTCCATCTTTTTAAATTCTTAGTTATTCTAGAAGTAGAGTCTGGCAAACTGGCTCACTTGCCGCTTAACCTTTTTTATGGACAGTATTCTAAGAAAAGGTATTTTTTTTAACATTTAATAGTTGAAAAAATGAGCAATATTTTATGGCTCTGTGGAAATATGAAAAGCCCAGACATCACAGTCTGTCAGTGAGGTTGTGTTGAAGTAGTCAGTTTATCATCTAGTCCTTTGCAGGGTAGACAGTAAGCTCAATGCTTCTCCGGCTGTTTATGGTGCTATTTCCTGGTTTTTCTTCTTCCCTCCTTCCCTCTTTTTACAGTATGACACCTTTGATATCTAGCTGAGGTGTGGTTTCTGAGTCAGGCCCCAAACTGGCTTTTCTCTCTGCTGTTGTAGACGGCTTAGATACCACCTTTTCATTGCATACTCAGCGTGGTTCAAAACTCAAAATCACCTGCTAATGCCCTGGACTAGAACTTTCTATTCC